CTATAGTTACTTGCAAGAGAAGAATGTTAGTAGCAGCAATCTAACGGTGAGTAATAAGAAGAGTTTTCTCTCGAATCTTGGTTGCAAATGTGTGTGTTCTGGTGGGAATTCAGTAGATGTCGTCGACGAAGACGAGAAGAGAAGAAGCTCTGTTTTGAAGAAGATCAAAACACATTTGAGTTTCTCTGGAGATCTAAGCTCAGAGATGAAGATTCATCAACAACAACAAGCAATGTTAGAGCATAGAAAGTCTCTGGAAATATTTGGATCTCCTCTTATAGAGAAGAGAATCATTTCAAAGAAATTTCCATGGGAATACTCGAGCGCTGCGAAAACAAAGGAACGTGGCTTCACTGTGAAGTATGAACAAGAAGAGGAAGATGGCAGTGTGAGCGATGTAAGTTCGGATCTTTTCGAGATTGAGAGCTCAACAGGAAAAGCAAAACCCTTTCTTGCAAGACAAGGAAGCAGCGATCCAGAGTCACCGAATTGCTATGCACCGAGTGAGGTAAGCATAGCTTGGAGTGTAGTAACAGCTAGTGTTGCGGATTTCTCTGTTATGTCTGAATGTGCAACAAGTCCTGTCAAGAACCGGTCTTTTCAGATTCCTCGAATCCCTATGATCGCCAAATCAAACCGAGAAACCGCGCCTCAGAGACGGAAATCGAGCAGTGGCGGTTTATTAATGGGATGCAAGAGTCATAAATCTGTTAGAGTTTCAGGTGATTCGTACACAAGCGTGAACAGAACACCGAGTTATGTGCCAAGGTTTCCGGTAGAAGGTAATCAAACAAGTACCGAAACTCGGAGGAAGATAAGCAGTAGCTCGGTTTCTCAAACGCAATCGCCTTTTCTGTATATTCAGTGATGCCAAAAAGAGAGCTCATTTCGCTTTAAATGTATATCTATTGAGTGAGAAAGATTTCATTTGCTAATACCATCTTCAAATTCTTGCATCTGAAATCGATAAATATGATCAAATCGCGTCTTCTAGTTTTATGCAATAATCGAGCTGGACTTAATGGATTAATTAGGAAAGAATGTTGATAGGACTGCAAATCAGTCTTTACCATCAATCAATCACCAAGAAAACTTATTGGTGACCACAAATAGTAAGATGAAATGTGATCCAAGAACTCATCCATGTGAACATTAGTAGACACTTGGGTCTAATCTGCAGATAAGACATAACCAAAGAATGCATTTCCATGTGACCTATAAAGGAGTGAGTTTAACCTTTTGTTGACTCAGGAGCAGGAGACATGTGTAAATGCAGCATAGAGACTAGACACAATACAGAACTGGTCCAACTTTATTTTCATGTGATTGGCTCAATAATAGAAAGATACCTGATTAGGGGCTAGATTTAACGGTTTAATCTAAGTCCGTACCAGTTGCCTAAAAGAGCCATTAATGAGGAACCTCAATCATTCACTGACAAGTGTCCTTTCACCTAACATGTCTTAAAAGCCCATCTAGAATCTTTTGGTCCATAATCATCTCAAGACCATGTGATTGATAATGAGATAAAGTAGAAATAGACAAAACCTTAATTATATCATTCATGATGATATGACTCTGTAACCAACTCCTGAGGAATGTTAGGTTTTGAGAAAAAGATTGATTGTAATACTGTTTAAAGTTTCATATTCAAGATTCAGCTCATCAAGAAACAACCATTTGATCTTAAAACCAATTCATTGAATCTAGTAGTACTTAAATAGCATATCAAATTTCAGAAACATCGATGAAATCAGATCTTCCAAGAAAAATCCACCCTGTCCCAAGTATCTATTAGATCTTGAAGATAAGTATTGGATCATTTTCCAAAGGTCCACTTTTTCAATAATTGAGCAATCATTTCATTGGTCTATGAACCTAACTAGTCAGAGAATAATTACCCAGTTGCCATGTTTGGAGAAGATAAGAACAACAAAAGCAAGAAGCCCTTTGCGTAAAAGAAACAATCAATGACTCTTATATATGTGTGTTTGTGTAAGTCATTTCCTAGTAAAGGAGATGTGTGAGACTCTCACAGGTCTCAATAACTGAAATTATAAAGCAGATAATAACAAAGTATCTGAAGTTTTTGGCTACTACAAGATAAATTTACTGCTAGCTTGCACAGAAACATATTGCCCGCAGATCGAAAACAGATAGATTGGCATTGTATGTACAGTTACGAGTACACAGAGGTTACGGTGGTTCTCCAACGAGCAAACGATGAAGTGACTTAGCAGTGACAAGAATCCCCAAAAGAAAGAAAGAAAAGAGTTACTCATCTTTGGATACTTTGATTGGCCGTGTTTCAAATCCTCCATTGGCTCTTTTCTCAAGTGTATAAGGCATATAAGTACCGAGAATCCTATCCCACATGACAAAGAATGGCTGCGAGAAGTTGTATTTAGTTCCGTAGAGTTGGTGGTGAACATCATGGTAAGCAGAGTTATTACTGAAGAAGATGTGAAATGGATTTCCCGGGAGCCACAGTCCACAGTGATCATCTACCGTTTTGATTGTAGCAAAGGAGAAGAAGAAAATGGCGGTTCTTGGGGACATACCAGAGAAGAGGAAAGACAAAGCACCACCAATGGTGTCCAAGAGCAGACCTTCTAATGGATGGTTGTATAGAGCTCCATATGCATATGGCACGATAAGGCGATGATGTTGAGAATGGATATGCTTGTATAAGAACTTGTTGAGGTGCATATATCGATGAATGAAGTATTGCCAAGTGTCAATTACAAGCATACCGATGATAAACTGCCTCGCCAGAAGTAGAATTGAAAATTGCTGCGTCGTAGCAGCATCTTCATCACTTCCTGTTATCTAAAGAAAAAACAAAAGAATGCTTCATGATGCAACTACTATGAACATCCACCAACAAACATATCCACAGTGACTCTTCCAATACAGAGAAACATCACAGGCTCATAATTCATCAGATTTACATCACAAGATCCGAGTTATAATTCATCAGATAATCTCCAGAATTTCAAACTCTCTCTTGTCTGTTGCAGTCTAAAATCTGCAATCTCGCTTCAGGACAACAAAAGGTGCTTCATTACAAAACATACCATTTTGATTACAGAAAACCCCTAAATCATTCTCAATATTCACTAACCACACATTAGATCTCTATACAATATTCAAGGAATATATATATAGAGAGAGAGAGAGATACCTTGAAGAGAATAATGGAGATAATGGCCTGTAGAGTCTGTTGAAGAAGAACGCCCTTGACGACGGCAGATTTGGTAACGAGATTCTTCTCATCTTCGTCAACCTTCGAATGCAATCTATATCTCTCCATAGATCCCAAACAAATATACATCCCTGAATACAACCAATACACAAGAATCGGAACGAACGTACCCAGAAAATCATCCGAAATCGCGAAACCCATCATCTCTCTCTCTAATCTTATATAATGT